TCTGTGAGGCTTGGATCAGAACGTTCACAGTACTCGGTACTTGGAGTCTTGTAATGTTCACTTTATGTTCTTCAAATCCTATAATAATAATCGTAATATCTAAAAATATTACATTTGTTTTATATGTATCCTATAAAAATATTAAATCATATATTTGACATTGAGTTGAATCACTTTCTTCGTGTGTTCTTTAGGTAGACAATATTATCTATGAAGGTGAACTGAAAACAATATTATTCTCACAGACAGTATATTATTTCAAAGTGTAATGTCTTCCAACAGGCAGTATCGTAAGACTCGTACTTATTCAACTCTTGCATGTTTTTCTTTTCGCTGTGAATATAAACTTGTCACAGACAAACATACTTATTTAACATATTAGTATTGTATGTTAGGGAGTATTGTATATATGTGTTTTTGAAAATTTTAAATCGATTATATCGTCCACAAGGTATTCGTCAAAAGTAAATATATTTTTGTACATCAATAGTCACCGTCCCCATAGACATAAGGCAAAATGTGGGAAAAGGGAAAGGGCAACTTCCCCGGTCGTGTCAGCCTATGTTCGAGCTATAGTAACTAGATCACAACTAGGCTCTACTACACTCTTTTCTTTCATTATCTTTGATGTAAAGTTTGTTTTAATATATTCTTTAATAACTTTATAATGTGTATTATCTTATCCATAACAAGTTACATGAAGTTACTTCCCAGACCCGCGCTTCCCTCGCTACAGTAGGTATAATTACATAGATACGTATGTCTCAGTGTGTTAGAAAACGTAATGTTTGTTAACATCTGAAAATAAATTTTCATTCAGACATATTACGATATGAAACGGAGGAAATATGTTCATACATGGCAATTACCTTCATTTCATGTTAAATTTACTTAAAGTTTTTGTTAATTAAAAATAAATTAAAAAATTGAGAGAAGTTAAACACGGATTATAACAACAACTGTTTGTTAAATTTATTATAAACAGGTATAATATAAATGTTAAATACTTCACGCGTTGTCAGCTTGGAACTTGATTTGTTAATTTCTAAAACAATTAACAAATTTTCGTTGCGATTCTGTTTCTATCAAAATTGTATGTAACAATCTGCCCTAAAACTATAATTAAAAGAATGTTAAATATGTATATCTTTGATCTGAGAGTAGTCTGTGAGAGCGCGCGTAATGCTATCAACACGGGACTCGAGTCATGTTTATGAATGAGTCGGTGGACGGATGACGGCGTTTGTTACACGAAGGAAAACTTATCAGAGATAGTATTCATTTAATTTAATGCACTAACACATTACAATATATGTATACACTATAAATTGTTATAAACATATGCTAGGTATGCATAACATATGCTTTCTCCATCAGTATATCTCACCATTGCTCTTGTTTGTGTTTTATATTATATACTTATGTTAGTATATATATATGAGTGTTTGTTTCTGTCGTCACAATGACCGGTTATGTTTTTGTTGATAGTTAGTATATAACAATAGTATTGTATGTGAAGCTGCACGTGTTGCACATCATCATGTCCAGGGTGAGTTGTCTGTTTGTATCAGTCCGCTCGTTTTTACTTCGTCTTTCATGTGACACTTCTCTGTTGTGTTAGGTTTTCATATATTTTCTCTGTTTTCAAATGTCCGCTAACCGCTTATAACATAAGTGTTCCGTAATGAGTTGACTTATATCATGAAGGTAGTGTTAACAATTGGAATACTTTTTTTTGTATCTATCCCTGTCTAGTCACATCTTGCCACGTTAAGGAAACAACAGGATGTGCGCGTGTCAAAATATAATGAACACATACATGTATGTAGTATTAAAATGATACTTCGCTCATAAAATACTTTTTGGACCATCGTCCATTATACATACAAATGAAAGAACAAGTAAGATGTGTCCTCATACATTCCAGCTCGTGGTTGTATATCTTCTGTTGATACAGACACTACACATAAAGTCAAGGAGAATGTGCCGATGAACTCAGGACATCTTGTCGTAAAAGCAAGTGTTTGAGTTTTAACTACATTCCAATGGCTTGTCCTGCAATAGAAAAATGTTTTTTTCTAGACTCTGCTACTAAATGACTTATGTACATATGTAGTAAACACTTAAAAACCATGACCAATATAAATAATATTATCATTTACTGGAGCTGCTAGTCACGATTCATTCAGAAAGTCACGTCAGGATCATTAAGTTAAATAATTGTTCTCATTTTTGATTCAGCATTAGTTTCATAATTTTTATCTCTGACCTAAAGGGGGGGGGGGTGACTTGTGTAAGGGGGGGTGTTAATTGTAAGTTCTATGCTATGTTTGACTGATATAGATCTAGCGGTATGAGAGTTATCAGCTCTAATACTCTATATGGCAAATGTTTGGTCTATCTTTCTATTAAAGGTCCAGGTTAAAATTTTTCACAATTAAAATTTTTCAACGAAATTACACATGAAATAGTATTATTTCTCGGTTAATCATCAGTGTCTAAATTCTTGTTGATATTTATAAGTTCAGGAGTAATTTTATATTGTTATGTATTATCTTAAACCTATATAATATAATCTACTCACGAGTCATTATATTTTCTGTAAATCATTCTCCATGTAACTTATAAACGTTACTTGTATATGTTTTGTTTCACTATCATTAATAACGAGAGGTTTCCTTTCTCTCTGTTGCTTTTTTTTTACAAACCATTAACTTATTTACTTTGCGTGAAAATAGTTTAGTAGTCCTTGTCGAAAAATTTATAATGAATGCAGTATTTGTATTTGTACGTTTGAAGTGACAATCATTCAAGAAATCTAGTTTTTACAAATTATTATTTAATTTTCTCTTACATTACGTACTAATGTCACGTCACCGCGTCATTACTTTCTACTTCTGTAAAAGTTCTATAAGATATGTTTGCATTTAATGTCGGATGTCTGATGATGAATGTCGACCAAACGACCAGGTCATTGAGGTGGCTTTTCATTAAGTTGTTATCTAAGAACAGTATATTTGAATCTTCTTATATAAATTATTTTATTTCATACTCACACTACGAACTTTATTAAACCACACGAAGCATTAAGACTTCTAAATGTCTTTTATATCAGCGGACATCATTTATTATCGTTTCAGAATGAGCTCTGTGTGTTTTATATTCACAAAACGCTTGTAACACTTTATATGTAAATCCAGATAATATTAAACTGTGGACGATGTTTGTGTTTATCTCAACATAACTATGAAACTGTCGCTATGTTCCTCGTCTGTTACATTATGTTAAGAGAATGTTCCACAAAAGTTTGTGGTCTAAATCTCAATACTTATCATTTCATTCTTGAGGAATGTGTTTTCAGTTCAAAAAAACCATCGAGTACGAGTATTTCTCCGCGAGTTTACCATAAATATAAAAACAAA